ACTTTGTCCGCCGCGGAGGGGCTCCCCCGGCAGCGCGGCCCCCGCCACCGCGGCGCAGGGAGCCCGCAGGGAGCCCGCAGGGAGCCCGCAGGGCCACTCCGCCCGACTCCGGGGACGGTGGGGCGTGCGGCGGCCCGGGGAGGCGGAGAGACCGGGATCCCTGAGCCGCGCACGGCTGCGATGGGGCACGGCACAGACCCGCCGCCCGCGCCGGAGCGCGGTACGGTCCCGCGGCTCGGGCACGGCCGGGGCACGGCGCGGATCGGGGCTCCCCGCTCGCACCTCTGTCCCCGGGGCTCCCCTCACGTACCTGCTGCCCGCGGCACCCGCGCCGCCAGCGCCCGGCGCGCGCCCCGCGCGGGGAGGAACCCGGGGCCGCCCGCGCGCGCCTCCCGCCGTTCCCGCCGGGTCGCCTTGGAAACGCGGGGCCGGCGCGCGGGTCAGTCCGCGGGAGCGGAGGGGGCGCGCGCGCGTCCGCCGCGCGTCACGCGGGCGCGGCCCGGCCAATCGCGGCGGCGGGCGGCGCGCGCTGTAGTACTACTGCGAGGCGCGCGCCCGGCGGCGCCCCCGGCCCCGCCCCCGCCGCGACCCCCGCGCCGGGCCCGGCCGAGCCCGCGCGCCGCGGCCGCTCCGCGCGCTGCCCGCGCGGCTCCGCGCCCTCACGGCCCCGCGCCCTCACGGCCCGGCGGCCGCGATTGCGTAACGCGCCGGAGCTGCAGGATTACGGCATGCGGATTAGGGATTACGTTGATTCAGCAGATTGTCCTGTGCATGGCTGAGAAAGATTACACCTGCAGAGTTAAGAATACCCGTTTGCTGTGGTAAACCGTGGGTTAAGTAGAACAAATTAACTCAATACAAAATTAAATGCACAAAAAAAAAAAAAAAAAGAAGTAAAACACCTCAAGGTTAAGAACTTCGGTGCTTTAAATGGACAAAATAAAAGAGACTGAAATTCAGGGTTTGACAATTATCTCCCTGTGTTTTGCAACAGCTGCTGTTAGCAGCAACCAGCTATTAGTGCTGGATGAATCTTAAAAATCAAAATCATTATTACGAAGAATAGTTACACTTGATTCCTGATGACTGCCACATAAAGTAAATATCTAAACTCCTAGACATAGATTTTCAGTAACTCAAGATCATTTAAGTGGCACTGGTCTATTTGATTGTGTCAACATGTGCTAAACTGTCTCCTTGTATGTTAACCTGTAATATGGATATTTTGAGTTCTGATTACTGGGCCTGAGATTATTGATATTTGAGAGCTGACATTATGAGGGACACTGCATCTGCCACTGAGGTATCAATAAAAATTAACCTTGCAGAGACAAACTTGAAGTAGCATTCATTTTGGCTGATTTCTTACAAGAGTTAGGGATGAAACTTGGAAGCAAAATTGCCACAGTAATCATACAAAATGATAGAATAGTGGTGGGGGTTGTTTTCCAAGACTGATAGTGATTTTTTTTAATGCAAGGGTCTTGTAAGATTTAATAATTCCCTTCACATAAGAATACACAAGCTTTAAACTGGAATCTCTATCTCAAAATTACAAATCTGTGATGTGACTACAGTAGTTACATTGGACAGAAGCCTCAACTTTGTAGCTTTGCCAATGTCTGTATGAATATCTCATACAATAGAACTGGGGTTTCAGATGGAAATTTGCAAGCTGCTTAGAAAATTTTGGCAATGGAAAGTTTTCCCTGAAATTCACTGTAATGTCTCAAATTTCAATTTCAACACCATGACAGGAGCTTTACCCCCTGTTTTAGTATATAATTAATCCTAGACATACTGTAGTGGATAAAAATGAAAATTTTTAAACCTAAATTCAAACCTAAATTTTTGCTGTAGGGATTTCTAATATAAGAGGACTCAGCCATTTGTTATCATTTTAGAAAACTGCCATGGAAAGAATTTTGAAGAACTGTTTAAAAAAAAAAGTTACCCTGTCAACCAAAGCACATTGATATTTGTGAGCTATTTGTCATCTGCTTTATCTTTCTGTCTTTTGTCAGAATTTCCTGATACTGTGGCTATCCCATCCTAAAAGGAAGTTCCAGTGTATAAATTTGAGTATAACACTGTTCTTATACAGATTTGTTATCTCACCTGCAATTCTTCTTATAGAGATCCTCATTTGTTTTGATGCCTTAGGTTTTAGCTCTTATGTTTTTCAGATCCTGTACTACTTTAGTGTGTAGTTCTGAGCTTCATATTAGGGGATGGTGAGCTTTCTTCAGGGCAGGGAGACAAAATAATTCCTGCTCCAGCTGGGGACCAAGGACAACCACCCAGATTTCAGGCCCAAGAACATAAACAATGTGGACTGAAGAGAGAAAAACAAGAGGGATGGGACTTCATGGGCTAAAGCTGGAATTGGACAATTAACTCCAATATGCAAATGGACCAGAATTTATAAAAGAGAGAGACCTGGTGGCCAGTTGTCCGTTTTGGTTCACCTTGGGCATAGCCCTGGCTGGGCTTTTGTACTGCTGAGGGTGGATCCACTGAGGTATTTTAATAAAACCCTGCTTTATTCTTTAACTCCATCTAGCCTCTGTTCTAGGCCAGCCTTCACAAGGCATCAGTTTCAGGTAGTTCGATGGATTTTTTCTGATGCCTGATGATCAGTTGTGAGCTTCTGACACTGTAAGGTATGAGAAGTTATACCTAGGTGAGAAAAAACTCTTTAACAAAACTTCAGAACAGTTCCTGGCTCTTGGAGAAAGTACGAGGTGTAGACTACTGACTGCTTGACAGGTATCAAGGACATCTCAGTAGGAAATTTATATTTAATCAGCATAATCATAATTTTTTTGATTTTTCCCCTTCACCGTTTTCATAATCCAAATATTTGAGCTCAATATTGGGGCAGAATGAGATTTCACCTTTTTTGATTTTTAGAAAGAATACATAGTGCAGTAAAATTCTATTCTCAAAGACAGCTGTAAGGTGCAACTTAATCTAAATGTACAAACAATGTGTATTTGAGATACCCCCATGACTGAAACGATCTTCTTTAATTTGGGGGAGCATTTATATAGAGATTAGTTTTAAGAATGTTTGAATAGCAAAGATCCATAAACCAAAGTCGAGATCATTATTCAGTGCTTGCTTCTTATCTGCCTGTGCTCATTAGGACTTACAGGTACTGTGGATGCTTAGGCCAGCTAACCAGTAAAAGTACACAAAAGCAAGAGACAATACAGATTCTGATTTAAACAGATGGGGAGTAAAGCAGACAGGTTCATTTAAAGACAAATCTAACAAGTTCAAGACTTGTTCCACTGTATCTCAGTATACACAGGTGACCTCACTTTCATGTATAAGTATTTCAAAGAATGCATTCCTATTCTTAATATCAGTTTAGATGACAAAGATGAAGGGAAAAAGGTTGAACTGATAAGATTTTTCAACAAGCTGGCACACAGCAAAACAGGCTATAATTTAAACTTCAGAATAAAATACTCTTAACTGTGAAATGTACAAAGTTACATTTCACAAACTCCGAAGATACATGGAAGATAAACATTTGAGCATTCATACAATTTAATTTTTAGTTTCCGTGAGCATAGTCTGTATTTGCATCTAGAGGAAGACTCAGTTTGAAAAGTGCAGGAAAGGTGCACAGATGATTTTTGTTATTCCAGTATGAACTCAGTGCACACACAGGTGTGAGTTACAATCAACAATTAGCAACACTTAGCAAGAATTAGCAACAATTAGGAACAATTTCTGCTGTAGTGCTTCCTTTTCTTTAAATATATAATCTTATTATCTAATGCGATAGAGAGTCCAGTTCATTCTTTTTAGAACACTGCTACATACTTCAACTCCTGTTCAGAGTGCAACCTCAGAGAAAAACATCTAAATACATGATTACCTAATGATGTACTTTTCTATCTTAAAAACAAAAAAGTCAAAGCTGTGAATGCTGTCAGCAACCCCTCTTTAAAAACCATCTTTAGACCCATATTGTGATACCCATTATCAGAACTTAAAAAATAAAGTTATGCTTTCACATGGGTGAGGAAGTATTTTCACTTCCTCCCTTTGTGACCCCCTATTTCCTTGAATACACAGGCAACAAACTTTGAAAATAAACAATTAGTAGTCCCACAGCCTTCCTCAAGCTGTCTTGCTCTCTACACTCATCTTATAAACAATTTGTTTTACATGGAACAATTAGTCCTAGTCCCAAGAGATGATGAGTTGCATAGCACATCCATTTAACACACTGATGCAATAGAAAACCATCAGCTTCCCCTAAGGGATTTTCTGCTAGATCACTGGATTTAAGCATCTTCTGAAAAAGTTAAACTTAGACCAGGAGCAGCACCAGAGATACTGAGGTACATACTGACAGTAAGATGAAGGAGAGCTAATTTGAGATCTCCTTTTGGCAGTAGGAAAACTCAAGCTGTTTTGTCAATTCAAGAATTCATATCCTAATTAAATCTACTACAGGAGCTAGTAATGAAATTTAGGTTATATATCCTGTCTATATTTTATGAGAGTTATTAAATATTATCCAATTTTTTGAAGCTTTCTGTGAAAAGGGAAACTAATTGACCAAAGACTACTTGCTCCAATAAAACACAAATTTAAATCAGATTTTTGATGCCTGTGTAAAATATATGTATGATACAATTTGTATGTACAACATTATCTGAGTATTTTGAATTCAACAATAAACTCTAGTGCTGGTAACCCTAGAAAAATATGCAAGTAATCTTGTGAGCATGACGGGGTGTTACCCTATTCTGTACTTGGCCCCTGTAGATGTGTTTGTCTTTGTTGCAACCTCACCCACAGTATGTGAACTGGAAACCTTTTTAACAGCACATATAGATTCCAGATCTTGACTACTAGAAAAATGAATTTCCAGGATGATTTATTTCTCTTGAAAAAAGACTTTAGTTCTGAAGTGACCCCTTCATTTGTTTCTTTGTGCCACATGCTGTGTTAATTGTTCTTGGTTCTGTACACAGAGCAAAGTGTAGCCGTGAGCCAGCTCAAGAGGACGCCTTTGGGTGGGGACCTTGCTGTTACAGCCCAGTATCACAGGGAACTGCCAGTTCAGATTGTCTTCTATGGACAGTACAGTTAAAAAGCTAAAGAAGCCCGCCGAGGTCCCATGAAAACCAGAACCATCTACTTATAAAGTAAGTACAAATTCATTACACCTTTTGAAATGGGCCTCTACAGAAAGTAGAGGCAGTATAGGCAACTATTTCTCATAAAGCTGATAATTTATTTTATTTGATAATTTAATGTTTAAAAAAAAATAAATCTTGCTTCCAATATAGGACAGTTTGCTTAAATATTTACTTTGCATACACTCTGAAGATAGAAAGAGCAAACATGAGAAAATTATCTATTATGTTAGACTTCTTCAGTAACCTATTTGGTACATTAAACCTTGACTATACCCAACAAGAAAACAGAATATAGCTAGGATAGATGGTTATAGAGTTGGCATGTCTACAGAGTAAGTTTCTTTTAGCAATGTCAAGTGAACATTGGTTTCTGTCCAGGCAGAGAGTTTCTATTGTAGATTTTTAAAATCATTGTGCAAGTTCTAAAAATTCAGTTTATATTACTAATTTCACCTGACATCCAGACACAAGGAACACTCAAGAAAAACACATATTCACTCTGAGAAATGACAAAATAGAAAGTTCTTGTTTCTGGAATGGAAGAATTCTACCAACCAGGATTTTACCTGAGTAATCAGCAGTCTGAGGAATGGTTCAGTTGTGTGCAGTGTCTTTCAAGGTGCAAGTGTCAATCTAATTAGCTAGCCAGAATCAATCAGACTGCCTACATGCATCAGGTATTACAATTCTGAATAAGCATGACAGTTTTTAAGAAGTATTCATTGTTTAAACATGCTTTAGTCTGAATTTAGTTTTACTCTGCCTTCAGGGATTCGCTGAACTTGACAGCAGACTTGAATGTTTGCCATTACCTGTGAATTAATGGAACTCACATATTACAGTACTTTACTGTTAGAGTGCAACAGATGTCTTAGCAGAAACACTGAAAGTTGCATTCCAATAGCTATTTCTTCAGGGGAAAAAGACACCAGGTTTAAAAATTATATGCTCAATTTACATGTTTGTCTTTAGGTGCTGTTGCCTCTGACCAAGAACAAAAAATTGTTGTTGGAATAATATGCGAACAGGTAATTTCTTCCAAGTCTTTACTTTAGAGTTCATTAAAATTGCATTGATTTTGATGCTGCCACTGAGATTGTCACAACTGCTCTGCAGAGATGCCATCCCTCACTAGAGTTTACCAGTCAGTGGTATAAATCCTGTAAGGAGGTGTTTGTTTGCTTTGATCAATCCTAATATTTCAAATTGTGATTAGTTACTGTGCAGTCCAAAGTTGCTGACAAGTGAGGAAGCATGCATCAGGCTCCCTTTTACCTTCTGCCAACATTTCTCACTCCTCTCTCTTTTTTTTTTTTGTGTTGGCAATCTAGTATTTTAGCCTCTATTTTAGGCAAGACAGCTGAGATGACGTGGATTATCAAGGCTAGCTGGCTTTTGGGGGTGAAGATGGTATTGAGCCTGCATTTGTTTTTTTTTTTCATAGTCAGGTCAGGTCACAAAAGTTTAAATGCAAATAGATGAGACAGTTTAGGGACACAGCACTGTACCAACTATTAGGAGGAAAATTGACTCTATTCCAGCTGAAACCAGGACACCTGCATGTCCTCAAAAATAATTATTAAGAATAAGTGTATTTAGAGGCTGCTATTACCTCAGTGAGTTTTAAGTATTCAGTCTAGCATTAGAAAGAAAAACCTCATTTTATTCCTCTTAACTTCTTCCACTAAAATCCAACTTTTTAAAGAAGTAACTTTGGTGTCCTACTTCTCTTTAATCTCTCACATGGGTGTTATCAAAATACATACTTATATGTTATGTGCAACATACATTGATAGAATTCTATTAATTTCAAAGCTAAATCTTTTATATTTTTTTAATTGCCCATCATCTCTTGACTTGTTAAACTTTCCTATCTTCATTATGGAGTCTGACTATATTATACATTTGACTTTCAAAGCATAGAATTTGCATTTTTAGATTATTATAATGTATTGACTTACCTCATGAAAAATCATAACACATTCATCAATGCTAATGTAATTGGGTTTTGGTTTCTATTGAACCCCTTCTGATTCTCCAGCATACTCTTTTGCATCATTGACTATTGATTTAAAGGGATAAACTGGTGCTTTCATGCTTTCCTGTCTACAAATACAGAACTGTAACTTTGAAATTTCTAACAAGCTACTGCATTTCAATATCATAGGTGTGGAGTACAATAATACCTATTTTTGTATTGTAGCAAATTACAATTTGTTAGTAATATTTTTCCTAGAGTTAAAGCTTCCTGAATTTCTTTGATTGTCTTTCATAATTCTAACATCTGTGTTATACTGTGTCACTCAGATAGTTTTACTAATCAGTAGCAAAGTATTAAAACACAAAATAGAATTAATGAAAAGCACAACTGGTTGGAAAAAAGAGTACCTGATCAAGGTGGCCATAGAGGTTTTTTCAAGTTTCTCATTACTGCTAAAATTAAGGTTACAATTTTCCCCTTATTGGAAGAGAAGTCTATCTCTAGAAAGAAAGCCTATAGAAAAATTGTCTGTAATTACAATCAAAAAGGTTTCAAAGGTTTCCTAGGAACTTTTTGTTCTTTCTTTCCACCTCTCTCACTTTTCTCTAATAGACATAAGAGAAAGTGCCTGAGATATTTTGCCAGAACAGAAACGTCTGGTTGGGCTGCAGAGCTGGTGCTTGATACAAAGATCACACCTTAATAGTGCTCATTCTCCCAAATGTTCCAGGGCCTGAATGACTCGAGGCATTTAGCATTCTTCAGAACTCTGCCCCTATGCTAGTGTGAGACAGGTCTATTTCTGCATAAAGATGAAGAAAGAGAACTAACAAGGACGGATTTTAAGGAGGCTAACAAATTTGAGAAATGCTTTGAAACCTTTTCATGAGCTGTTCAAAAGCATTTTTCTGCAGGGCCTGCCTTCTATCATCTTACTTTTCTGTCTAGAATTTCAACAGTTAACTCCCTCAGACATTTAAAAGATTTGAGAGCAGGTCAAAGTTGAGAGTTTTGTTTTTCTCACTTGATTCTTAAAATTGTATAGATATTCGGATACACTGTTGATGTGTTCAGTGCCCTCTCTTCATTTAAGGAAGGATGTAGCCTTCAACTGAATAACACTCTCACAGGAGGTCCACTGTTATGTTTGAATAGATTAGAATCAACTAAGGTGTAGCTCTTGTTTAAAATCCTCCTTGTTTTCTCCCATTCCTGTTTTATTCCTATTGCAATTGTACAGTCACCCATACAAAATAATTTTAGAAGTCTTTTAATTGTGAACTTGCAGTAAATTAATTGCCAGCAGACAAGCACAGAAAGCTTCAGAGTTAAAATAAATTTCCATTTAACTTCTAACAAGGTAGGACAGAACACACATTTCTGTGCAACAAGGTCAGAAATTAACAATCTTTCCAGTCTGTCTTCTCCCCTCCTCCAGCTTCCTAATTTATCTGCCCACAGGCAAGAAGGTCCAGTTACCATTTGGATGCTGGCACTTTGTTAACAGGAACACAAAACTGAATTCCTCTTGGGCCCTGGGGTGTAACTGTCTTCAACGTAAAATAATGTATGGACTTTACTCATGCTTCTAATCAGTATGGTGTCACAGAAATGGAAGAATGTAGGAAAAGAAGGGAGAGTAGAATTAGTAGAGCTGGCCTAGAGGATAGCAGGATGCACAATGATTTGGTTGCACAGAGGTGGAAGTAGCTGAGCATTTCTGCCACTCTTAGAAAAGCCTGGCTTATTTTATATAAGAAGTTGTAGAAGGTCTCTCTAGGGTAGAATGTCTTACAGCCACACTTCTTACTTTTTTTTTTTTTTTCCCTGCAGGAATAAAGGGGAACCCTAACTCTTTTTCTTGAGACAAATAAGAAAACAAAATTCTTGATTCCTCTTAACTCTATGTTACGTATAGAATATGTCTTCTCTACATAAATAGTGACACAGCAGAATTCTGGTTTTCAGATCTTCTGGGAGAAATAACAGCAAGAACACCTAAAGTGTGAGGTTTACACATGACTGTCACCCCTGTGATATCAGAAGAGTGGACTGGTTTCATTTTGATTGAGACACTGTGGTTTCATAAGATAGAAGAAATATATAAAAATATTAGATTAAATATATATGAAAAGAGTTATTGATGTATTAAATGTGTCATAAATATATTCAGTCTAACTTCCAAATTTAGACTGCTTTCAGGAAGAGTGAAGTGGTACAGTTAGATGTGCTTTTTAAGCACAAAATGGATAAGTGCTGCTACAAGTGCCAACATTAGTGTCCTGCATTTGGGGTGTTATTAGAATGCCTAATTATATTTAACACATTAAGAATTCATCTAAGAAGCCTACTGAGTTAGGAAAAAGGTTTTTTTAGATCTGTGGAAATGATATTGTAGCCAGCAACCCTGTACATAAGTGTGTGCTTGCAGGCTGTGCCCTGGTTTGGCCACTGAGAATCGGGATGGGGAAACGTGGGGGTGTCCCAGTGTGCTACAGTTCAGATTTCATGCAGCCCAGAATGTCCTGGCCCTTACCTGGGACTGGGTGCATCTGCCTGACTGACTTTATTGCAGGAGCCAACTAAGCTAAAGGTAACTTGGTAACTGTGCCACTGGAATAGGACAAACCAGACTTCATATAGGTCATCGTGTGAATCACTGTACTCACTATGGTGAGTGGTCATGAAAGGCAAAAGAAGAAATGGAGAATTTCTCACTGCAAGAGAGAGTTTGATTTATTCATCTAATTTAGCTGTTTCACGTCTGATACGGTGATAAATTTTTGATCTTTTCTGCATATTGTAAGATTAAACAGTTCTGCAAAATCATGCTCTGTGTTGCTGGCCTGGAAGGCAAGACCCAAACCTTTTTTGCTCAGGTTTCATTTGTGTGGTAATTTATTTTTGTGTTTATTTGGTTTAAAGTCTATTATTCTCAGTGTTTGTTTTGGTCTTATTTTTAAGATCATGAAGAACTCTGTGGCACCAGTTATGGATCTTTTTGCCTAAATGGAGGGATTTGTTATATGATTCCTACTGTATCCAGTCCATTCTGCAGGTCAGTGAAACTAAAGTTTGTGTGTCTAAGTATTGGACAGTAGCTGTCTAAAGACTATTTCTCCATTTTCCCCTCTTTAAGGAATCACTGCTAAAGCATTATCTAAAAGAAAATACCAATTATCTATTACTTACCTAGTTTACAGAGACATAGCAATATGAGAAAAATAAATGTGTATATTTGGTGTATACTTTCTTGTCAGGTGGAACAGTATTCAGTTATGTATGCATTCAGGATTATATCTATAATTAGAGCCATATTTCCTCATTACAATACAGAAGGAACAAAATACCCTTGCCTCATGGAATATAAACTGTGGTAAAGGCATTCAGAAAGTCAAAGTACAGTTTTTCTTACAAATTATTTATGTTGCAAAAATCTTTGTAATATAAAATGACCTGACCAGAACAAAATGCAGAGACACAAAAAATAATATAATCTTTTAAGGGGGAAAAAAAGAATGTAATTCAAGACTTACTGCATTCTTCAAATCATGTTGAAATGCTCAAAGAGCAGCCAAAGACTACTTGACAAAAAACATCAAGGCAGCAAATACAGATCCTTCTTACACCACTCCATAACAGAACCATTCTTCCTTCTGAAGCCCATGCAGCAAACAGGAAAACAAGCAGTTCCTGTTTTTGCATGTGGATACATTTCCTGCATAAATGCTGCCCTATCTTTTTATTCTCTGGTTTTACAAGACATAAGATGCTAAATAAAACTGCCACTTTTCATGGTCCTGCATTTACTAATTCTGAGTTATCATCCATCAAAATAAATTATGGTTGATTTAATGGGTTTGCTTAACAAAAAAATTGGCATTCAGACAAATATTAAATAATACTTAAGGATATTACCTTTTTTCTTCCATGGCAACTTCTGTTTCCTCTTCTGCCTTGAGCTATAACTAATGATAACTGGATAAAAAAGTTGAAGAAGGAAACAACATCTTTTCCCAGATGCCTAATTAAAATATTACTTCCTTTTGTTTGGGACAGTTCAATCTGAATACTTAAACTCAAGCACATAAACTCATTTATTTAGACAGGGAGAAAAGAGGCAATTTTGTGGTAAATGCTCATTGAAAAATATACACAGCATATCACTGTCATTGTTCAGTGTCACAACGAATCAGATCCAGAAGAGAGATTAAATCTCTGAAGTGCTGTATGACGATTTATTCTATGTGCTAAACCTTGCAAGCTTATGCAATATAAAAAGGAATACTACACAAAAAAGTAAAACATTTTGAAATACATGTCTTTTTTTTCTAGAAGGAATTCTGTATTATTGTACATAAATGAAAAATGAATGGTTAAACTAAAGAGCAGCAGTTACACAATTTCAAAGCACCCTCTCAACTACTGCTGGACTGTGTAACAAGAAAGATGTATTCAGTGCAATGACTATAAATATGAAGTAACAAATACTTAGAAAAATTCATTCTTCAGGAGCACAAACTAGTCAGCAGAGATAATTTACACTTTAACAGCTCCAAATGAAGTAATTTTCAATTCAGGTACTACAGGTTTTTATAATCTGCTGAAGCAGAAAAGTAACATCTTAAGAACATTTTTGTTATACTCAGGCAATCTTATAGCATTTAAATTATCAACTATTTTTTCTCTATCTAGTGGTTGATTATGAAGTTAGATGGGTTTAAATAGCAGCATTCTATTTAAGCACATCCTCATTCTAAGCATGTTCCTTAATCAGTCAGAGAAGGCTAATTATAGATGAGAAAGGTTTTGTTTACACACAGATATCTTAGTAATCAGCAGTGATGTGAATAGAAACAACAGGAAAAATACATTACCATTCAGCAGAATTCAGAAAATATTTGGTGCTTTGGAACTTCATGACTGGCATCATCACAGACTTGCACAGTTTCTTTGAGGAAGGTTTCTGCCAAATCCCACCCAAAGCTCCCCAGCGTTCTCAAATTATCATGTCCTATTGAAAGAAAACTCAAATCACTTTTAGAATCAAGGGCTGAATGATTGTTAATTAAAAAAGGAGGAGATGGAGAAAGAACAGACTAGCAAACTGTAAAAATACCTTAAAACACATTTGCCTTGACATGGTACTTAGTCATACAAATGTGTTGTGCTCAGCAGAGTTACTCTGTGCAACATCATTGGAAGTAATTTCACCATGTGACCAAGAAAAATATATCATTTTTTAGAAATATGTGTTTTGTAGCATGATACAAATGAAGAACTGTTGTTTACCTTTGGAATGTCAGGGTTTTTTTTATCATTCAGAAATAGATTTATCCAAGGCACAGATTTAATACGTGTTGAACATTAGTTGACACCCCCCCCCCCCCATGTGCAACAGTAGCAGATTTTAAATACAGCTGACATGCATTAAAACATGTGGTTGCTCAGCTGCCATCTTCCCTCACTGCTTTCCCAACAAGGAGTTCATGTTCTCAGCAGTAAAAAGCACACCTGTCACAATAAACCAGATGAGCTTCAAACCCAGGAACACTCAAATGAACTAAATAAACAGGCAGCAGGACAGAGGAGGATGGAAAAGCAGCTGCCTCAGGTGCATGAAGGCTGAAAGCTGTTTGGCTCAGCACCTGATGCACAGCTGTCCCATAAGAATTAATTAATGCACTGCAGAATTAAGTGAAGATTTTGGTTTCTGAGGGGAAGCTCTGGTGCTCCCATTTTTTCTTACACTTGGCATATTTCTGAGAGGATTCTTTCTGTATTTCAAGCAAAATACAGATGGTATAAGACAACATGCACAGAGCTCTGCTCCAGAGGGCAGTACACACAGAAATCAACAGTAAATGCTCTCATTTTGGGACAGGGATCCTACTCTGCTGAGGCATAAGTTTTGCAAGAGACACAGGCAGACCTTGCAAATCTTCTCCCTGAAATTCCTGTATATCTTCATGGATATTTCTTCCTTTTTCCCTTCCTTTGCTTCCATCATAATGGAATCTCTCCTCCACCTTTCCTATGATAATCCAGTAAATCCCATGCAAATTCCTTCTGCCACTTTCTGTACACTCCCTCCTTGCCTGGCCCTCTGCCATTCCCTGGTTCAGACATCCCCACAAGTCATACACTTGCTGTGCTTTCAGCCTTCAGAATATACACCCTGCAAGTTGCCAGGGAGGGGCTTCCCAGTAATTTGGGCTTTTCTTTTTTCTCTGCCTCCAAAATTACATTTTAATGTACCTCAGGCTCTTCTGAAATCAAACTGTTCAATTAGTATTTTTCAATTCTGCTTTTGGCTTGAAAGGTAGTAACAAAAGTTAGAATTCACACCAAAAGTATGGCTAAAAGGATCAATAATTAAGATTTCTTTTTAATCGGACATACAATATAAAATGCAACACACTCTTATGTGTCTGAAAAGTATTAGCAATCTGAATTAATATAACTGCCAGATAGGGAAAACTTCCCATACAAACACATAACTAAGGGAGGGGAGAAGAAGCCATTCTTTTAGGGAAGAATAACCCATTCTTTCAACTTCTCTCCATTTTATTTTTCTCTGTGTATAGAGAGTAACTGTTTTGAAACTTCTCTAAATGCAAAACTTTTTAAAAACCTGCTTAGATGTCCAATTAACTTTGCCATTGCTTACTCACTTTGTCTCTAAATTCTTTTTCATACTTACTAGATGTTCTTAGACCGAATGTATTAGGAGAACTTTTAGGAGTCTGCTACAGACTGAAGATTATGTTGATTTTGAAGCTATCCGCCATGAAATCTGAATTGCATTGACAAGCAGATTATTTCTCGTCTTTTTCTGCTCAGAGCTTTGTATTTACATGGAAGTAGTATTTATACCAAGAAGTATCCAAAATTTTCCTGACTGAAGGAAGACTCAATGACAACTGAAGTCAACACCCTGATAGTATAATGCAAAGCAGTGAGAATCTGTGTGCATATTTGACTCCATTTTTTTACTTCCTACTTTTACAGTCTATCAGATACTTCCTTATGATGTCCACCTTAGAGTCTGGCAAAGAAAGAAACTTTACCTTCTTCCTAAGTCCCAGTGCCATAGGATCATTTGCACTGTCCAACAAACAGCATCTGAGAGGAGACAGCAGTGGTGCCCGTGTTACTGCAGGGCTGTTATGTTTCAGTTACCGATAGATTGTAAAGGATCAATGTAATTGCAGACCCCTGGTCATCTCCTGACATCTGATCCAATGCAGTCTATTTTCTTCCACCTTGCATTGATGCTGACATGATTAATACCCTGTGCTGAAAGATTCTATAGGTTTCTTTCCATATGCTAGTGTTTTGTCTGGAGCTCCTATAGGACATTTGTATACAATGGTTAAGGCTGGCTCATCTCATCTGACAAGAGGTGTGGGTGTGTGTGCATGTGTGTGCAGCTATCTAGGAGAGCAGAAATCTGGATGCCAGATGAAAATGGGAGGTTTTAGTCACAGATTTTTCTCAAACATTGAAGGCTGCTGTCTTTCAACTCTGAATTAGAAATTCAATTTTCTTAGAGGGGGAAAGACCTTTTTTCCATTTGAAAAATCACCTCTGGAATGCTGCATAGTAGGGCCATTTAAAGGCAGCACCGGGCACGTGCAACAAGAGCAGGGTAACAGCATGCAGGTGATGTACAACAGCAACACCTGGCCAGGGAACACAAACTCAATGAGTGCAACTCCTCCTTACTACAGCCTGCACTTGGTCCTCTGGGCTTTGCCCCGGCTCATTCAAGTGCAGGTACACCAGTGCCTGCCATGTCAACAACTGCTCTTAAGTTGTGTGCTGCTTTTAGGCATCCATAAACGGAGTTGCTGCTGACTTTTAAGGCTGTGTATAGTAAGACTGGCTGCCTCTAGGAGAGACTATACAGACACCATCATTCTGGGGTATGTTCACAGCCCATGTGCTTGTTAGAGACCATGTTCTGTCTTGCTTGCAGTCACTGCATATGTAACTCCACTGAAATTATTTGAGCTTTGCTAGTGCAACAGGATAAGCAGGTCTTCTGAGAGAATTCCACTGCTAATTACTGAAGTATGCTTAGTTTCTTTCTCACGTATTTTAGCAAGGACTTGTAGAAGAAACCTTTCCTGGTTGTCTTAAAGCATCAGTTGCTTCTATCTTTAACATAGGCCTTTACCTATTTGTACATCAGGAAAGGTGACAGCAATAAAAGCTTGTTCAAATAAATATCTGAACATCTGGATTTTCAGAAATGCTGTAGCTGTAGCACAGCTTGTTCACATCAGCTATAATTTTATTATTTAAATGTTTCCCAAAGATATCTCATCTTAATTTTCTTGTTCCTATGAAAACCTACATAATTTTTAGGTTACATTACAGCATTTTCTAGATAGCACAAAATCACTTTCAGCAAGTGTGTCAACAGGCCAGCATAGAGAAAGTGGACGGGTAGTTTTATAATCCCTAATACATTCCTCACTTTTAAACAGATACTATCAAACTAGCTAGTCATATTTCTATAACTTGTTTTTGTTACAACCATGCAGAATTAATAGGTTCAGCATCCAGGATGTCTTAAGTTTGGCATGTGCTTCTTTAGTATAGTTTTTTTTTCTTTTTGCTATAACCTTGGATCCATATCACTGTAGTTTTACCCTTACAATCTTAGGCCTGCAAGCTCTTTTCCCTCTTAAAGACTTTTGACCCCCTTAAGCATCTGGTTCTGTTTTCTATTTTGTAGGAAGTGCTATGATCTCAGTGACCCTTTTGCTGTGCTGTCAACACATTCCCAATTGTTTTCCTACAGTCTTTGCAGAACATGAATACAGCTTCCATCCACTGTTGACACCAACTCACTCTCATCTATCACAGCAGCTCAGTAACCCTTACCATTTACCTGATCCTCTATGCAGCTCTCTGCAGCTGTGACTGTCTTGTCTTCCTCCTGTTCTATTCTGCTCTTTAGGCTACTGACTTACTCCCTTTACACTCATTCTTTAGAACTTTTCCATGAGCCTTAATTTGATGCCAAAACCTACTTTTTTCTTCCTCTATCATTTTAGCCTTGCATTATTCTCCAGTTTTCATTGCTATTCAAGAATACTCCTATGAATTTCTTTTTCCATTTTCTTTTCTTGTTACTCTATTCAGCTCTCCAAAGCATTTCTCTCTCACTTGCTAGAGAACAATGCCCCACTCAAACTACACTTCTATCCTTAAAGTATTCTACAGTATTTCAGAAATAGGCCACTGAAAAGCCACTACACTTAGAATAAATATCTGGAACATTATCTCAAGCAATCAGAGCCGTCTGCCTGTCCTTGCTTCTCCCAGCAGTGAAACATCATGACTTTGAAAAGCCTCAGATTGTCCTTAGTAAATGCTGTCTGTTTGATCAGTTGCATAGCTTTAATATATGATGATAATTAGATGTCTTTTTTTAGTGTCTAAATCTTCTGTATTTCCAAAGACAAAGAATTAAAAGGGTACTAACTGTTTGTGCAGTGGTTTAGGCCAGCAGTACTGAAATACTGGTTCATAACTTACAGAAAGTGTAGTGGGAGTCACATCAGGCATCATGTCAGAAAACTCACAGGGAACCTTTGATCCTAGTTAGATATGCTAAGCATACTTCTTTTTTTGCAGTTCCTCCCCTCTCCACCTTCTTACCCCTCATCTGAAATTATACCTTGCAGCTGCCAATGGCATTTGAGAATTTCAAGTATGTTGCAGAGTTTAGCCCATTTTTCTCAGCTGGAGCCTGAAATTGCTTATGTCACAGATTATTATGACTTCAGTGCCAGAAATAGCAAGAAGGAGCAAGATCTTTAGTAATACAAATAGAAAGAAGCAAATTTACATATATAAAAAATACACACAGGATCTAGATATTGAAAAAAGTGCTTTCCATTTTCTGTAATGAAATCAATTCCTTAAGAAAACTTAGCAGAATAAGTGCAAAATACATAACAAATGAAGATTAGCTTCAACCTGCCTATTTTTGGCTGAATAGGAATTACTAAGCCATTGATTTTATTTGTTTTTACTAAAACATCATACCATTTTACCATGGTAAAATATCGTATTTGTTTAAATCCTTTCTTCAGAAGAAGTCTTAAGAAGCTCAACACATAAAATAAGCATAGTAGAGAAGACTTCTATGTAGTTCTCCCCAAGAGGG